ATTTTCTTAAACTTTAAAAAATAGAAAAACTAGGGAGTTTCTTTCAGAAAATGGAAAATACACAAATAGATAAATACATGGGTCAAAGACGAAAAATGGTTTAAGCATAAAAACAGTACTACTTTAAATTGTTGTTGTTTTTCCCCAAAAAAAAAACGTTTCATGTAATTGTATTTTTGTTTTTCTGAGCAAAAAAAAAAATACATTTTCCCCTGATTTACAGAAGACACCACTAAAATGTCATTCAGTAACAATCTTGTCAGGTATATTTACAACAAAAATCTATTTATGACATATTAAATATAAAAAAATTAATTACTTTCACCCCAGATACTAATTAGTTGTCATTTTACATTTTTTTTAATTGGCCACTATCATAGGTTTTGCCCATTTATCAGTAAGAATTTTTTACTAATTTAAAACCCAATAAAATTTAATATGCTCACTTATTCTTTTATATATTTTAATATGTACAGGTCAGAATAAGCATGTTGTTTGAAATTTTACATAACTATAAGTGTTACACTGAATGACAATGGAACATTATTTCAACCAAATTGTCATTTTATTCTTCAAAAACTTATTCGAAACCTTAAATGTAGACACTTTACTTGCATTTAATGTGCTTTCTATGGACATAAAATCACTTTTGTAAATTTCTTTTGATGCGGACATCTTAACATATTTGACCCACATACATACATATACATACATGCATACATAGAACTCACTAACTGAATCAAAATTACAAAAAATTATAGCAATTACAAAAATATTATAGAGATATTTAATCAAAAAATTTCCACAGACAGAGTTATTCATCCAAACTAAAATTTCACTATACATAAAAAATAAAAATAAATAAAAATGTAGAAATAATAAAATAATAATTAAAGAGCAGCAAAAAAAAGTTCACACTGTATGTAAAGTGCATGTGAGAGCTGAAACACAGCGCGCACGAGGAAGAGTGTGAACTAAACAATAAAAAAAACACTCACCTGCAGAAGAGAGACGCAGACACTGCAGGACACAGACAGCCGTCTGCTCGCTGTCCGCTGTCTCTCACACACTCACACACAGAACCAGCAGGGCATCATGGTCCCCGGAGAGGGCAACAGGCTGTAATAACCCTCCAGTGTGTCACCTGAGCTCAGCTGGCACACACAGAGGACCTGCTCTCAGCCCAACACACACACAGATACTCTCACAGATATAGAATCGTTCTCTTTCTCTCACACTCACAATCACACACAAAGAAACTCTCACAGATATAGATTCTCTCTCTCTCCTGATAAATGTAACAAACGGTTATACAAACTCACATGCTGGTTTCACTATATTGGTTTCAGAAATGTGATTGTTTTTATGCAAAAGTGATTTCAAATGACTTCAAACGTCCATAAAATAATTTTTCAATTTATTTGGCCTGATTATAGTATAGCCACTTTTCTCTCGCAGATGTAGCTGTACATAAAGGACTGAATTCGACATTTTTGGCCTCTCTTTAAATATGAAAATGACATGTTTTGTACACGAAGCCTCTCCTCTCATGCACTCTGTTCTGTTTGGCAGTGTATGGTTTCTGGGACAGCGCAAGGCCTGGGAAACTCTGTTGTCCTGGAGACCAAGAACAAGGCAGGGGGCCATTCCCACAACAACCCCTCTACTTGTGGTCGACACAATATTTCCTGCTATATTCTGATATCGTGACTCTACTGGACTCTGAACTCAGTGGCAGGTTCTTTGGTGACCAGGAGACGCTAAATGTTGTTTCAACAGGTAATGTTGAGTGTCATATTTTACAAGCAATGCATGTTACTTAAGTTTTCAAGATACGATTAAAATAATTATAAAATTTAATAAAAAAAAAAATTCTAATATACTGTATATCACCATATACACTACTATTTAAAAGCCTGGGATCACTATACTTCACTAATAATTTACCCAAGAGAGAAAATCTACTGAAAATGACTCTCCCTCGGGCCGTCCAAGAAGTAGAAGAGTTTGTTTCTTCATCAGAACAGATTTGTAGAAATTTAGCATTGTATCACTTGCTCACCACTGGAGTGAATGGGTGCTGTCAGAATGAGAGTCCAAACAATAATAAAAACTGATAAGAACATCACAATAATCCACAAGTAATCCACATAACTCCAGTCCATCAGTTAACATCTTGTGAAGCGAAAAACTGTGTGTTTGTAAGAAACCAATCCATCAATAATTTTATTTTTAAATTTAAACCATTGTTTCTGGCTAAAATACAGATTCTTTATCCACAATATTTCTTTCTTCAGTGAAAATAACAGTAAAGATATTTATAAAGTTGCAGTATTTCTATTTCGAAATAACTTTTTTTAAACGTTCTATTCTTCCAAGAATCCTTTAACAGTTTCCACAAACATATTAAGCTGTTATCTGTATAATACTGATAATGAGAAATGTTTCTTGAGCACCAGATCAGCATATCTATATTATTTTTGAAGGATCATGTGACACTGAAGACTGGTGTAATGACTGCTGAAAATCCAGCTTTGCCATCACAGGAATAAATTACATTTGAAATATATTAAAGGGGTCATATGATGCGATTTCAATTTTTCCTTTCTCTTTGGAGTGTTACAAGCTCTTGGTGCATAAAGAAGATCTGTAAAGTTGCAAAATGGGTTTTCATGTTTTTGAATCATCACTCCGGCCTGACGGCATCATCACAATATGGTAAGGGGTGTAACATTTCCGTCACATGCTTGAGGTATTCGGCCAATCACAACGCACTGGATAGCTGGCCAATCAGCGTACACCTCACTTTTCAGACTGATGAGCTTTGTAAAAATCGACACGTTTCAGAAAGGCGGGGCATAGAGGAGAAACAATAATGTACAGTATGTGGAAAGTAATGTGTTTTTTTAACCTTAAACCGCATAAACACATTTCATTACACCAAATACACAAAATAATGTTATTTTTAGCAGCATCATATGACCCCTTTAAAACAGATTATATTATATCTTCAAAACATGAAATCTTACCGATCGCAAACTTTTGATTGGTATTGCATATATTTACTCAAAAATAACTTTGTTACATTCAATAATAAATAATAATGTAGCATAGCTAGTAACTTTTTATTCTAAAGTTATTTTCAAATGTAACATTCCTCAACAATATTGACTTTAAATGCAGCCGCATCTGTCTCTAAACAAAGTCATAATTGAGGATTTCTAATTAAACAAGAACAAACTGCAATGTTTATTTTAATATATCTTTATTATTAACTGGTGCAATTTGAAGATTTAACATAAAAAATCAAGTTTGTCATAACATTTGCATATTATCTCATCAAATTAAGATATTAAAACTGGCCTTGACCAGAATGTAAATAAAGATTATTATTCAAAAACTGGAATGAATATAAGAGCTCAGAAGGCCACTAGTGTGAAATCATTTCATCTGAAACCAAAAAGAAAAGAACTAAAACATCATTTGTTGGGTCTTTAAAAGGAAAATACACAACGAATAGGTCCTAGGAAAATGAACAGATGCTTTACTGATGCCACTGAGAGCAAAACGATTATGGATGGCCTAAAAAGCAAAATGATGGCAGGTTTGATTCATGATGAAGAGAACGTAATGACCAGCAGAGAGGGACTGGAGCTCTAAAAGGCCAAGGCACAAACAATAAACAGCAGTGTATCTGTGTACATCAGTAGTCTGAGATCACAACAGACAGCAGTCAATAGTCAAGAGAGAAAATCAGATAGCAGTCATTACTTTCAGACAGCAGATGAATAATAATAATGGGCAGCTGTTTAGTCCGAGATAACAATTGACAGTTTTTAGTTCATAACAAAATTTATAAAGATAATAATGGGCCATTTTATTGGATGATTTGTGACTGATTTTTAGTTCAGTTGGTTTAGTTGAGGATAGTTTGGACATCTGTGCTTAGTGAAATAAAAGGTTGATTGTAGTGTATATTCTGGGGTAATGACAACAGTATTTAGTTTGAGATCATGGATATTTGAGTTTAACTTTGAGGATGAATGCCATTGTTTAGTGTGAGATGATGACAACAGTGTTTAGTCTCATGATCGCAGGATTATAGGACAGTTAAAGGGACAGTACACCCAAAAATGAACATTCTGTCATTTACTCGACCCTCTGTCAAAATTAGTCAAAATTATCAATAAATTAAATAACTGTAAGTAATTGTTAATTTCCATATTATGGCTTTTGTTCTCTGAATTCATAGTCTTTATTGTTACAGGTATACAGATATTAGTACTAATATTAGTACTATTTATCTCAAACCCTAAATGCAAGTTGCAAAATTTATGCAATTCAAGGAGATTTACTGAGCATCAAGTCCCTAGAGTCAGAATTACTTATCAAGGTGAATGAGATGGTGAGTGAAACGATGTTAAACAATGCAGACAGACATTATGACAACACTGACTGGAACAACATGACCAGCTCTACACTTAATTCACACTGGACTTGACAAATGACTTGAACCTCAGATTAATGAACTTTGAATTGATTTGAATCTTGATATTAAACCTTATCTTGATAGCCAGTGATATTATATTTCGACATTGTGAACTGTAAAATAAATAATTAGATATTAAAGGGAAGTGGATATGCAGAAACCATAACCAGGGGCAGGGTTATTATAGTTAACCGAAAACAAAAAACTAAAACAATAAAAAATGGTTTAAAATAAATGTTTACAGAAATAAAATATAAAAAACTTTAACTTATTTTATTTCAGCTAGTTGCCAAGGAAACCTTTGTCATATTCATTTAGTTTAACTTGATTTACAAACTAAAACGAAAAAAAAAAAAAAGACAAAAATCACAACATTTAAAAAAAACACACAAAACTTTAAAATTTAAATGAAAATGGAAAATATACAAAAAAAAAAAAAAAAACTAAATTCAAAATATTAATAAAAACTATAGTAGTATCTATGATGAATGATACTAAAATAACCTGGAGAAGAACTGACATTACAAACTAAATTAATTTTACAACAAAAACAGACAGTAAATTCACATTTGAACAGTGAATTTACGCAGGATCTGTTCAAGCTGAAACCTTTTGGAAGACCTAAGAATTTGTTTTGGAGTAAACCATTCAGTAAGTGTAACTACTGTATTAACTATTGTTAGGTAAACTGGTCAATGTTAAAAAAGAATTCTGCTGTCTAAGAGTAAAGTTTGATCATTTTTCACTGTCAATTGAGCGACTACAAGCCCTCCCTTACCCTGGAATGATCCATGTGATTGATGTAGGGTTTCCATAAGGAAGCTGTAGTTACCATGGGAAAGTTGGTCCCACGGTACAGTGGCAATGTTCATTGAGCTGGCAGTTTTTGTGCCGCTCACAGACGGTGTGTGCTCATTGGTTGGATTAAGGCCAGACACTTAAGGAATTCCTAACTGAGGCTCTGTTTTTGGTCCTTAGCTAGTGGCGACGTGCATTCGCTGAAAAATATGAGATGTCTCAGAGTGCAGTTCATGCTGACCAGAGTAAAAAGGTTTATACAATCTGCAAAAGGAACTTAAAAACGAGCTCAAGATGTGCAGAGAAAGAAGCTTCCTCAAACCGAAGTATTCGAAACGAAAACAAGTGCAAACCGGAGACGTCGATACGTTACATTAAGCTCCTCCGTGGATGAGTCATGCAGTCCATGCATACGAAAAGATGTGTAAATAGAAAAATAAATGCTTACAAAAATGGCATAGCATCTGTTTTGTTCTCCTCCCTTAAAGTTCCCAGTCAAATATAACCACACAGTCTCGTTCTGCCAAGTGCAGTGTCTACCACTAGAGATAAAACGCATGCATTCCATGCAGTGCTCTTTGCTTTGCAGGGGTAAAGCGTGAAGTGGATACATATTTAGATATGATGAGTATTATGTTTGTCTTTATTTGTCGTTTTGTGCTGTACAAAGTCTGTAGTCATTATGAAGAGTGTGTGTTAGTGCGTCTTTAGGGTGGTGTTCCCCACGTTCCATCGGAGCCGAACCCGTCTCCGGTGGACGAGAGTGGAACAGGTCCACTGGGGGTAAAGGGATCAGTGTCCGTATCCGTCTCGCCCTCGGCTAAATATCGGCGGTCGCGGCCCCAGCTCGACCCCGCCGTTAACCCTGAGGCCTTACCCGTGACCTCCTCTTTCTCGGCGGAGATGCTGAATCCGCTGGGCGAGCGTTCCAGCTCCTCGTGAGTGACCGACAACAGCGACAGCGGCGTTCCCACCCTGCGGCCTCCCGATTGGCTGACGTTGGAGGATGGGGAGTGGCTTGGCAGTGGGCTGATGGGCAGGACAGTCGGTCTCGGTGGGTGTGCGTCAGAGCACATGTAATATGGTGCATTGTGCAGCGGCGGGCCGTAGCTGCAGTACACGCGGTCGCCTGCGAGGCGGACAGTCAGCGTGGGGTCGCAGCGCTCCATGGTCATGTGGCCGGGGCCTGTGAGGTCATGTTGCATATGCATATCCACCAGGAAATCCAGTTTCTTCTCCATGTCTTCTACCTGTGAGTGAGGTGATGAGAGTTTAGCAAAACAACTTTAGTTAGGCCATACAAAAAGCTGTCTGAACGCATGAGCACCTGTCTCTCAACCCGCACAAATCTTCCCATCATGCTTTGGTCTTCGGGATCTGGCAGGCCTGCTTTGGCAAGATATGACTCATGTCTGAGAGAGAAAAACAGAGAGGAAAAGTGAATCAAGAGTTCAAATGAGAATGGTTGTAGCTCTGCAGTTAAAAAATTAGATAGATAAAAATGATACTAAATTATTAATAATAAATTATAAATTGCCAGAACTCTTAATTCAATATAGGGATTGTTATTAGGCATTATTATTAAATATGGTTGTGGTTTTATTAGGATTATGCTCTAGCAAAATAATATATTAGTATAGTTTTAATATATATTAATATAGTTTTAAACTTAATAAAAATATAAAATATTTACCTAGGTGACTGCTGGGTGGGGTATGGAAATGGTGGTTTCTGGGGTTTCTTGTGTTTTGGAGTGAGAGGCGGTCCTGGTGTCAGTATCAGATCTAGTCTAAAGATGAAACAAATAGCAAATATTAGAGGATATTAGAAGATTATATAGTACAGTTTAAATGATGCAAGTAAACAATTTGAAATGGAAAAAGTTTGACTTTCATAAAGTAATTAAAAAGTTTTCTATAATATTTCTTTAAAAATGTGCATGTTTATGTTTCAATGTGTGTGTGTGTTACCGTGTCTGTAGATATTTGATTCTGGTGAGCATGTCCAGGTGTCCTGCAGAATACTGCTCAATCACATCCTTTACATCATATGGCCTCAGAGTCTCCTTAAAACGCTTCTTACTCAACAGGAATATTACGATCCTTCAAAATAAGAAAAAACAAGAGGAAAAAATGTTAAAATAGTAAAACCTTGAATTTAGAACAGCTGAAAGATCTGTTAAGATATAAATGATGGTGTATGTGTATGTACAATACCATTCAAAAGTTTGGGGTCAGTAAGATTTTTAAAATAAATGTAATGTTTTTTTTTACGTTTTTTAATGTCTTTTGTACATCAATTCGATAAAAGTGTCTGCTAAATGCAGAAATGTAAATGTAATGCTCACCAAGGCTGCATATATTTGATAACAAAATACAGTAAAAACAGTAATATTGTGAAATATTACAATTTAAAATAACTGTTTCAACTTTAATATATTTTAAAATGTAGTTTATTCCTGTAATGGCAAAGCTGAATTTTCCGCCGTCATTACTCCAGTCTGCAGTGTCATGAATGTCACAAATCATTCTAATATGCTGATTTGCTGCTCAAGAAACATTTCCTATTATTATCAATGTTGAAAGAGTTAACATATTAACAGTTAATGCTGTTTAGTATATTTGCTGCTTAATATATTTTTTCAGAATTATATGAAGAATATAAAGTTCTAAAGAACAGCATTTATTTGAAACATACATTTTTTTGTAAAAATGTAAAAGTATTTAATGCTACTTTTGATCAATTTATTGCTGTACAAAATTATAAATAAAAAAAAATCTTAGTGAACCAAAACGTTTGAACGGCAGTGTACACTGGGACTGTTTAGGACTAAAAAAAAAACATTTAAAAGAAAGAAAATAATATAAGAAAGAAAAAGAATGTGAAAAAAGGTCACAGGTCATTTTTAAGGGTTATAGACATGATATAATCTTTGTATACCGCAGTGCTCTTATGACTAATTTGAGAGTTGGAATCATCTCCTCCAGCAGTATGTCCGGTGGGAAGACCTTCTCCTCAGGAGTTGGATCAGGCAAACCACCTGTATCTACAATAAAGCAACAAAACAAGGTTAGATTAATTGCATTGTGTAAGTGTCTACTATACTTCAAATTTAAATTTCTTGCATTATTGACAATCTATTTTCCTGTTTAACACTGTAAAGCTGCTTTGACACAACCAGTATTGTATAAAGCGCTATACAAATAAAGGTGACTTGACGTTACTAAACTTGAGTATTTAAGGAAGTATATCTATTATTATAGTGTGTAAATAGCTAAGAGTGTGTTTATGTATATTGTGCATGCATATTAACTGTACAGGTCTTTGAGAGTGTTTACAGGTCTGTTGGTACTGTTTTTTCTAACAAGTATGCACTAGTTAAAAAGTTTAGTACTTTAAAGAAGTTGAGCTTTTAAAAATGCATCTTGAGTATGTGAATGATGTGTGTTTGTGTGTGTTTGGGAGTGTGTCATACCCTCTGAGCTCTGTCTCAGGGCGTAGGCCTTCATTCTGAAAGCAGTTCTGAATCTCTCTCTGTTACTGAACCCTGCTGGTTTGCCCTCTTTTGATGGACTCTCCTCAATCGCCTCTGCTGGCCCGCAGTTCCCTGACACACTTTCAGGATTGGCAGCAGGCATCATCACACGGGCCCTTACCGTCGATGGTCTCGGAGTTGACAGCCGCACACGTTCCAACAAACTCAACTTCTGACTGATGAAGAGACAGAGTAACAGATGAGCTGAATCTCAGAGCTCTGAACATATTTTGTTAATATTACTTATCATTTTGTAATTCTTATTGAGTCTCTTTGTCTGTTAGAAGTCAATGAAAAGGAATTGATGATAGTGTTGTATCCCTAAAAGCACACATACGTCTGGCCGATGTCGACCCGATATACAAAGTTCTGTTGACAGGATGTAGCCCAGAGAGCATTTGCTAATTGAGAATATGATCAGAAATGCTTTCCGGTCGATGTTCGGACGAAGCAAACCTGTAAAATCCCTGCCGCTCTGTGTGTGTGCGGTTCACCGGCGTTCTGCTCATCGTTATTCTAGCAGACCACTCGCGGCAGCTGCCACTTTTCCAACTGCAGTCCGCGGTTCATAATCAATTCCACACACTACCCAAAATGTCCTTCCACACACTAAGAAATCAAAAACAATATACACCACTATCAATAACAGTTGCAAATTTATTAGTATTTTCAGTGAACATATTAAATATACAAATACATTTACATTTATCAGATGCTTTTATCGAAAGTGACTTAACCATGGTTTTACCAGAATTTGTAGTAAAACCATAGTAAAAACAAAATCAACCATAGTTGTACTACAATAACCATGGTTTAACTATGACTGTTGCAGGAAAACCATAGAACTACAAAATTTACCATGATTTCAGAAACTATGGTTACTATAGTCAAGGTTACCACAGTTTTACACTAGTATTACTACAATATTACTATAGTAGAACCATGGCATCAAAACCATGGTTTGAACCAAAAAAGCATGGATACTCATGGTTGCTACAGTTTTACTGAAGTAAAACCATGGTTAATTGTCATATAGGTATAGTGGTTTTCACAATACTTATCATTTCAAAGCAGGTTTACAGAAAATGCATATTTCAAGGTTACAATTGAAAAATATCCTTTAAACAGGCAGAGGTGACTGAGACTCACTGGGCAAGAACATCATCTGGTAACAAAGTGTCTGTATGACAGTAGCTCAAAGATAATACAAGTCATGTGTTCAGTTAAACACTATCCTTCAACAATATTAAAGGGTAAGTTCAACGATTTTCAACCCACTTTGTATTGTTACAATGTTGGTAATATATGTAAAAGAACAATGTTTATCTTTCTCCAAGATACCCAGTTTATTTGTCAGATGATCTTTTTTCATTTTGTCAAAACTCATTTCATTTTGCGTCATCTAGTGGAGTGTTGTTTACAAGTAAAAGGGGATATATTGATACACATAACTCAAAGAAAGAGTAAATATTGTTCATTTACATATATTAGAGTCATTGCAACAAAACAAAACTCACCCTTAAAGGCAATATAAGGATAATATTTGTCAGTTTTGTATGTCCATTTACTGTTGCCATCATCTGAAGTCTTCGTGAGTATTGGCGTCATCTGAAGTGAGGCTGGATCCAAACTGGAACTGGCGTAATCTCTAGTAACCTTGGAATGAGCATCCCAAGAGCCCGAGAAACAGGAAAACAAAAGGAGAAAGTTTAGCATAACTGCTGTTCATTATTTCAGACAAAAGATTATTTATTTCATCACATATAACTGGAGTGCAAGGTTATGAGATGTGTTTTGTAAATACTTGGCTAAAAATATGTATTTTATTCTAATTTAAACTAAAAGAGTGTGTCTGAGCCCCGAACATTATCAGGAAGGCTATTTCAAAGTTTAGGAGTAAAATACAAAAAAGCTCTACTTCCTTTAGTGGACTTTGATATATCCTCGGACGGTATTATCAATAGTCCAGAGTTTTGTGACCTCATTACAGGCCAAGCACCGCAGGTGCTGTTGCCCCTATTTTTGCTTATTTTGCTATTATCTGGTTTAATCCGAATTTTTATAGATCCCTAAGTGAATGTATTAGTTGTTCTCAGTATTCAGGGAACAGACACAGTCTCTATAGAATGGACTACGTATGCCACAGTATCATTCAAGTGGGAGGAACATCATAACTGTAATTTGCACTACCTTTCAAAATTTTGGGGTCAGTAAGATTTTTAACGTCTTTGCATGAAGTCTCTTTTGCTCACCAAGGCTGCATTTATTTGATTAAAAAATGAGTAAAAACAGTAATATTATGAAATATTATTAAAATCTAAAATAGCTGTTTTCTATTGTAATATATTTTAAAATGTTTTAGCCAATTTTTTCACTCCATGTAAGCGATGTCACCGATTAACAGTACACTGTATTTAGGTTAAATAAATTAGCCTACTTTCAATCACCCGTTGACAAATTGCCAGCAAAACCTTTACAAAACTATCAAAACCACTCATATTTGTGTGATTTTAGGGACTAAACTTACCTGAAAGCAGTGAAAACAGCAGTGAGAGATGGAGTTTTACTGCTTGTCAGTTACTGTGTTGCTGCCCCGTTTCCATGGCAACTCTGCTCCCAGCTCCAGTGTAGAATGACTCGAAAGTTCAACGCACATGCATTAAAACACGTTAAAGTCATGCAGCATTTACATAAGTAAACTTCTAGAATTAAAACATTACAATTTTAATTCTCATTAAATAATCATTAAATCATGAATTTAAAACTTATTTTGTAGTTCAAAAAGGAACAGCAACAATGTAGCCCACAGTAGAGACAGATTCTTTCTGGCAGCCTGTAACAGAGTCAAAAACGCTCTGGTTACTAACGTAACCTCAGTTCCCTGAGATAAGGGAACAAGCGTTGTGTTGACATGCTTATGGGGGAATCTCCTGTTTACTGTGATGCTGAAGTCTGATTTGTTCAAGTTCGTGTAGCTGCACGCACCAATGGCACTTCAACCTGCCAAAAAGGGAGGAGCCGACCTCTATCTAAGTCGACTCTGAGCATCATTTCGTCAGAATCTTTTGACTGAAGCTATAGTCATCGATTCGCGTGTAGCCTTATAGCAAGGCAGCTATATGAAATGCTTGTTCCCTTATCTCAGTAAACCGAGGTTACATTAGTAACCGGAGTGTTCCGTTTCGAACGGTCTCTCCCGTTGTGTTGACACGCTTATGGGGAACGCGTCCAATAGCGCTGTGCTATAGCAAGTGCAGAACGAAACTGCTCTGCAAGCCCAGCCCTGGAGCACTCTTACTGAGGGCTCCTGTAAGCATGAGCCAATAAATGAGACCCAAGCCGTTTAGGCAGAGGACTACATAACATAACCCTCTCCACTTATAACCATGCATTCACACCGCCGCCGGCGAGAGCGTCAAAGTGGCCGGAGGTCATTCATTTTCAGTGTGTGTCAGTGGCGAGCTCTGGTTGGATGGTGTGGGTGTCGAGGAGAGTTGAAGTCAGGTCAACTTTATGGTAATGAGCTATGACGCGGTTCAGCGGCAACCAATCGGAATGTAGAAGTCCTCCGCTTGAGAGAATTCCAGAGAATGCAGTCCTGTAAACTTTGGTTCCGACCACATTAGTTCCCAAACAAAAAGAAGGAGAGGTTGATCATTGCTGTGGCATGTTTCCCAATAATTTACGACGTGTCCCTGTTTGCATTCAGAGACATCAATTTAAAAAAATTATGCGTGGACCAAGGTGTCTGTGAATTTGATAAGAAGGCACGCAACACTACTTCAACATTTGGAAACATGTTTGCGCTAGAACGCTTGTTTTTCAGCAGGAATGCAATTCATTTGCTCAAAGCAACACAGATTTGACCAACTGCATTAAGGCTACACTTCAACCAGGACAGTCTGTAATGTAGGATGTGCACAAATTAATGTTAATGTTAATTAAAGACCAAGGCTAGTAAACGTCTCCTATAAACTGCATGTTGAAATTAGACTAGCACTTAACCATCACACAAAAAGCACACAAAAAGCTGCTCTGAGTGTCTAAACAGGCCACAGGTCACCCACTCGCTTGACCGACGCTAGAGCCAAAAGGAGGGCAGTCTTAAAGCGTCAGAGGCTGCAAGTCAGACGACTGGAGCGACTCAAAAGGAGGGCCCTGTAGGGCCCTGAGGACTATTGACAAGTCCCATGTCGGCAGGGTATGAGGATGACGCGGATTCAATCTCCGACCTCCCCTCAGAAACTTAACAACTGTTAAGTTGTTTCTACCGACTGATTAGCCAGCCATGAGAGAATGATTCACAGTGATGGCTGCCACATACACTTTGAGAAGGGAGAAGGGTGAGACTCATGCTCTCGCAGTGAGAGCATGCTGTCTCAGTGAGCGCAACCTCTGCGTGGGCGCTGCCCAGACAGGCGAAGCACTCACTGTGCCCATCTGCACTAGCCACACTCGCGGCATGACATTTGCAACAACGTCGCAGGAAATTTGCTCAGAAATTTGCTCTTAGTGCCGAATGGCCACTGGGTAAGGCTTCTGGCTTCTTCCACTGCCGGGGACTCCTTCTATGGTGGTGAGCAGCAGGCTGAGCTGAGCTTCTTCCTTCTTTGGCTTCTTGCTTGCAGAGTCAGCGAGGAGATGATCTTCGTCGTAGAAGGAGAAAAATTCTGATGAAATCGCAATCAGGGCTCGGCTCCTCCCCTTTTGGCAAGGTGAAGCGTCATTGGTTAGTGCAGCTACACTAATGTGAACAAATCAGGCTTCAGTATCAGAGTAAACAGTAGTTTCCCCCATAAGCATGTAAATGCAACGGGAGAGACCGTTCGAAAGGGAACATGGCGAAAAAGCAGTTAGGACTTCACTTTAAGAATCATATATGCCACTTCACTGCCATAACGTTTATCATTTTAACTGTTTCCTTTAAACAGATCAAGGGCTTCAGTCTATTGACGTCTGCATCGTATGCTGTAGAGCGGTTATATGCTGCACTGAAAGCCCTCAGTGAACCGTCACAATTTGTGTTTTACCGATTTAATGACCGGGTACTATGAACATTAGACATGAACACTCCTGAACTAAAAACAAACTGGGCTGAAGCATTCCGCTGCTCAGCATCTAGCCATTTCCCCTTTGAGAAATTGCTGGAAACACATAAGACCTTAACAGTAATTTTAAAAATAGCTACCGTGACCATTATCTAAGCAAGTTAGTTGGTAATGTGCCTTACTAGTAACTTTTAAGTGTCACAAAATTAACAAAATAGTATTTTTTTTCTAATATTGCTCAAGCGAAAACTTACCTGAAAACCACAGATGTCACACAGATGTGAGTGAGCCACCTTCTCTCTGGTGGGTTGCTAAGAGATGAATAACTGGGCACGCGCAAACAGATAAGCGCGACATCGGCCTCCAGTAGTGAGCCGACTCAGAGCCGACGTTTGATGAGCTGGGAAAATAGAGCACTGACTGAAGACATCTGCCTGTGGTGTTTTGTGTCCTGTTTCTTCTTTTTTTCTAAATCCAATTTTGTCTTTATTCTGGTTTATGGCTGATTTTAGACAGGGCAACTTTTCAGGCGCCATTGCCCAGCAACAGGCAGGAAATGGATCACAGGTTGAGACGTATAATTATTTTGGATGTCAAATTTTGCTCCCCATCTCCCACTGCTGGCCATTTAATAATATAATGAATGATCATAAAATAATAAATCATATAATATATATATTAATATTATAATAAATTGATTAATATAATATAATAAATTGATTATAATATATATATATATATATATATATATTAATATAATACATTGATAATAAAATTAAATATTATTAATATTATAATATAATCAGCAGTGCGTGTTTATGTGTGTGTGTGTGTGTGTGTGTGTGTGTGTGTGGTGTTGTAAATTCATTGGAAATACAGGAAAGCAGTGAAAAACATGAGAACAGATAGGAAGAGAATCAACGCATAGATTTCACATGAACAAATGAATGGGGCACAATATCATCAGCTACTTAGTGTGTGTATGGTCCAGTTTATCCATTTTGGACTTGTTTTAGTAGGTCATTGAAAATGTCAGGCTGCAGGTTTCCCAGCTATTTGGCTTTGTTTGTATGGGTGTGTGTGTGTTTATTTGTACCAGTAGGTCAGGTTTTGCTTACATTGTGGGAACAAAATGTCTGTAAATGGATGGAAAGATCTGAAATCGCCTACATACTAGATATTGTTTTAATAAAATGTAAAACTGCAGAGGGGTTTGTGTGAGGGTTTGGCTTAAAGGATTCAACTTAACAATCCATTATCTTTTTTTTTTTTTACTGATTACTTTTGAAAAAGCAGCACTCCCCTTCCATAGTCTTAACTAAACAAAAATGCTAAACAAAACAATACTTTTTTTGGTACGGAGCCACAAAAGGGACATGGTGATGTAAAAAATGAGATGAGAGGAAAAATTATATTCCAAAGCTTTTGTGTTTTCTCGTAAACTTTTGTGTTGGCTGAGAAAATGTTTTTGTTTGCAAAACTTTTGCATTCCTCTGATAAAGTCTGCGTTTGTTTGCAAATATTTTGCATTCCCCCGAGAAACTTTGTGTTCACTTGCAAAACCTTTGTGTTCCCCATTAAAGTTTGCATTCATCTGGCAAATTTTTTGCATTCCCCTGAGAAACTTTGCATGCACTCGCAAAACTTTTGTAATAGAAATAATATGAGGTGGGAGGAAAAACAGTGCTCAGGGAAATGCTATACATTCACGAGAGAGTGCAAACATTTTGTGAGTGAATACAGCGTTTCTTAAGGAATGCAATACCTTTGCAAGAGAACACAAGTTTTGTGAGCGAACGCAAAAACTTTGAAATAAAATCTCCTTGTCCTTTTAACTTTTTTCGCCTTATTATTTTTTAACAAAAAAGTACCATTTATTACAACAAAACTCTGTTTTGAATGTTTATCTTTAACCGCATTTTGTCATATGAACAACCAGTCAATAATTTAACTGATGTAGGTCTGATCTGTCAATCATTTTGAGTTTTGACTGATTCACTCAAAAGAATCAGTTCATAAGAGTCATTTGTTCCTGAATTGGACTATACTGGACTATGTGGACAATGCAATAGAAATGTGGGCTCTCTATTTATTGTTTTTATATTTAGACATTTATTGAACAGTTAGCTAAACCAAGCATCAAGAAAATGAGGAATCAGTTCAGCAGAAAAAATGTAATGTGCGTGTGTGGTTTTGGTTTCTCCATTTTGTAGGTCACCGGTAGTGATAATGTCAGGCTACAAGTTTCCCAGCCCACTCGCCTTTGTTTATGTGGATATTTGCGTAGGTGCGTATTTGTGTACACTCTTAAAAATAAAGGTGCTTCACGATGCCATAGAAGAACCTTTTTGTCTAAATGGTTCCATAAAGAACCTTCAACACCTGAAGAACCTTTCTGTTTCACAAAAGGTTCTTTGTGGCGAAAGAAGGTTCTTCAGATTACAAAAAGGTAAGAAAGAGATGGTTCTTTAAAGAACCTTTGACTGAATGGTTCTTTGTGGAACTAAAAATGGTTCTTCTATGGCATCGCTTGAAGAACCTTTTGAAGCACCTTTATTTTTAAGAGTGTAGGTGTGTGTTTTGCACTAATGTATTAGCAGTATCAATGTGTAATCTGATCTCTGGATTACATGGAAACATGGATTACAGGTCTCGGGTCAGGTGGTACAAACAAGCACAGCACTCAATCCAACTCTCCCTGCTGTTTCTATCTGTAAATCTTTCCTCTTTTAACAAATGGACTGTCAGGCCAGTGTCCAGGTCAAGGACAACTGATACTCATGATTATTATATACGTAGTCCATCTTTGTCAAGGCTCATCATGCTTAGATCGCTAATAACAGTTCCCATCATTTTCCTTACAATGACACAGACGTCACACATCCAAATTCTCCCACACACACTCATGTTCCCTCTTCCTCACTATGCTTTGACACTATCATCTATCAGTGATCCATAATTCACTCTTTTCTAATGGACTCTGTAATGTCACATATAGAACTACTGTCCACATGTCCCCCAACTGAGAAACGAGCTCTCACGATCTCTCACACACAGAAACGCACTGCTGGTCATTACGCCTTTGGCACTGAATTAATGGAGGGGGTGGTTATTAGGAGTTATTTAAGGAAACACATTTCACAGAATCATTCATCTCACACTCACAAAACAGAGGGAATGAGAGAGAGAGAGAGAGAGAGACTTACCTAGCCATAACCTCAAGAGGCTCCTTCCTGCAGGTGACAGAAACAACACACACATTTTGTTTGACCAGCTTACATTTATGACAACAACGACAAAATTCTCTTCATTTGCACCAAATGACCACTAGTGTGTATTAGAATATTCACTTATACAAAAAAATATTAATTTAACTGTGGTAATATTTGTAAATAATTATGAAATTATATTATTATATTATTGAATATGAGATTTCATGTACAAAAAAATAATGAAGCATCAATAGAATAGTGCTAGATATAGTTTGTTTATTAGTTATAAGTAACTGAAATCACAATGGCAAGTGTCATTAAGGAAGCAGTATGAATAATTGCTAAATTAAAAGGGATTTTTAAAAGATTGAAAGAATTAGCATTTATTTTTATATTTTCAGTTTTCAATTTAATTTTATTTGAATTTGTTTTGTTATGTGCTTTTGTCATATTTGTTTGTTTGTAAATATTACAATTTATGTTTAATTTAGATATATTTCAGTTTTAGTTTTTTATTTATTTCCAGTTAGTAACTTTAGTGTTTCAGTTTATTTCAGTTAGTTGCCAAAGAAACATTCCTATTCTCCATTTAATGTTTTTCATCTAATATTTCTATTTCATTTTATTTCTGCTTTATTTCACATAATAGAAATGTTTTTAAAAGTTTTCGTTTTAGGTAATAGTAATAACTGAGTCCTGCTCCCAAACTCATGCCATTAGTTGAGCCAGTGTTGCCTTGTCAAGGTTTGACTGGTTATCGTTAAAGGATTAGTTCACTTCCAGAATAAAAATTTCCGGATAATTTCCTCACCCCCATGTCATCCAAGATGTTCATGTCTTTCTTTCTTCAGTCGAAAAGAAACTAGGGTTTTTGAGGAAAACATTCCAGGATTTTTCTCCATATAGTGGACTTCAATGGGGATCAAGGGGTTGAAGGTCCAAATTGCAGTTTCACTGCAGCTTCAACGGGCTCTACAATGATCCCAATCGAGGAATAAGGGTGAGTAAATTATCAGGAAATTTGTATTCTGGAAGTGAACTAATCCTTTAACCCTGTTAGCTCCTGCTGGTAGACATCATAACTACACTATCTGGCTGCAAAATGCATCTTTCTCCATTGATGGCCATTCAAAAACATTCTGTCTAAATAAACTTTTTGTTTTTTTCAATCAACATTTACAAATTACATTTATTTTATTAGAGTAGCATCCACTTTTTTCGGTAGGGCTCTTAAAAGTGTGAAATGGACATATATTTGTATATATTTGTCCCCGTCTTGCTCAGGATATTCAGTACTGAATTATTTGAGATCTTGGAATTTTAACTATCAAACAAGCACCACATTTTTCACTGATTTATTGAAAGTTAATGTCACATTATGAGAAGATTTAAATATGCTCAAATAAGGCTTGCTTACTTACTACAAATGTTTTTTCTTATGTTGATACACTTATATCTGCTATTCAAGCTCCAACCAAAGAGTTTATTTGTCATTATGATGGAAAAGTAAATTGTCCACGCACAAGTATGAGTACCTCACTGTAACCTCTAGCAGACCTCTAGATGATGCTGTGACTGCATGCAGACAATCAACATTAAAAAGAGATGCACAGACAGAAATCATGAGAATAACACAAGTGAAATCAGTGAAATCATAAAACAACCCAGGCATAATATAAAATCATGATGGTGATAAACATAAAGGCAAGTAACTAAAATAATATATAAATGCTAAAATATTCAAATGATGTTTGTTTTGTGAGTGATGTATGTGTATGGTACCTGAAGCATGGCAGAGAGATCACAGTCTCATAGAATCTCCATGTGGCGATGAGATCATCTCTGACGGGGTTGGTGGAGTAGTATCTCCATGCAGCCTGAAATCAATATTCAGTATTGAACATTAAGCAAACGTGTTGTTGTGAAATGAGCTTAAAGGGGTGGATTTACTGCTGATTTAAGTTTATGATGTTTCTGGTTACCTGTATTAATGAAGCTGCAGGATTTCTGCGTTTCTCAAAGTGTTTCTGCCTGTGCTGTTCCTGCACCTTCAGGGCCAACCCAGACCCAAGAATACCCTACAAACATAACCAGACTTTAGCATAAACTGGTAGGCTATTTTAAAAATAGCATACTATCATACCATTTCCATTTTTAAAATTCCCAAACTGAATGATGTTCCGCTCCTACGGCCCAAACAAAAATCTTTCTTAAGAGTCAGTTCATGTAAGTGAATCAACCACAGACTCGATTCTTTTGTGTTGCACTTTGTCTTGTAAGACTGATATCAGTTACTGATTGCTTGTTCATATGACAATGTGTAGTTAAATATACATTCAATGACTTTTGTCAGTAATATTTTATATAAAATGAATGAATAAATGTAACCACGTGATTTTGTTTAGTATTGTTGTTTAATATATAGTCATGAGCCAATTAATATATTACATTTATGCTGCCTCTAAAATAAAAGTTATTAAAAAGTCTGTGTAAACATACCTTTTCCAAAATAGTTTTAAGCTGAGTTACTCTCAAAATCATTGGAATTGTAAAGGAACTGAAATCATTAAAGGGATAGTTCACCCAAAAATGAAAATTACCACCCTCAAGCCATCCTAGGTGTATATGACTACAGTCAGAGTTCTATTAAAAAATGTCCTGGCTCTTCCATGCTTTATACTGGCAGTGAATGGTGGTCAAGATTTTAAAGCCCAAAAAGTGCGTTCATCCATCATAAAAAGTACTCCACACGGCTCCGGGGGGTTAATAAAGGCCTTCTGAAGTGAATCGATGCGTTTGTGTAAGAAAAATATCCATATTTAAAACTTCATATACCATAATCTCTAGCTTTCGTTAACTGCTGTAAGGACATTTTTGAATATAACTCTGATTGTATTCGTTTAAAAGAAGAAAGTCGTATACCCCTAGGATGGCTTGAGGGTGAGTAATTCATGGGGTAATTTTCATTTTTGGGTGAACTATCCCTTTAAGAGGAAAAGCAGATACCACTGTATTAACCACCTTATTTCACAACATCCCTCTCAACATAGAGGGATGTGAATGTGCAAGACTTCTTAATCATTAGCGCTATAGCTAAATAACCAGAAGAATAACAATGTGTAGTAAAAGCTAAAACTATTTGCTCTACAAAACTGTTTATGATTAGAAAAATATAATCAAATAATGATAGCAGTTGCCAGTTTGCAATAGCAAGCAACATAACAGACTGTTTTTGTACAGCTAGAAAAATGACTGGAAACAGATGACACCGTAAGTTACAAATGGCCACATCTGCACTTACGTTAAAAATAAGGTGGATAGTCTAGCGGTTATACTGTAATTTGTAACAATGTACATTTAGGGGAAAAAAAGGAGCTGTACTCACGGCTGGAAGAGCAAAAAATGACACACCGATAAGAGCGAAGGTCCCGGCTAAAAGACGCCCTGCCCACGTTTTTGGGGTCTTGTCACCGTAACCGATGGTTGTCAAGGTGATCTGAAACAGGAGTGAAATCATATGTCATCAGTGTGATTAGCACGACTAAGAGCCTATCAAAGTACTTGAGCTGTAAAACTATTAAAAAGGTAGTATTAATGGAGCTGCTGTTAATGTTACGAAAGGTGGTATAAATGGGGCTGCTATAAAACCATCACAATCAGGAGTACTAATGGAACTGATGTAAAACTGTCACAAATGGTAGTGTTAATGGAGCTGCTGTAAAAGGAATTGCCTTCCATTTTAAAAAATCACTTCTGAACTTGTGACACGCAATGGTTCAGATTTTCTTTCCTATTAAATTGACTTTCGCTTTTCAACACGGAGGAAAGCTTTTATGGATCCTTACCATAGCAGCTCAAAAATGCAAAAAATCACTAAACAGGTGCATAAAGCATTTTTTAATACAAATTAAAAAAATTGAATACAAATGTATTTTTGCATATTTGTGGATCTGATCTTTTCAGCAGAGTTTTCATACATTCACTCATAAAAGATTGAAAAAAGTAACATAACACAACCCAGTAATATAATGCAGGTTTGGTACAAACTCTAAATTAGCAATGTATGAATTTGAAAAAAGAGCAGCTTAAATGGAGTTAAAATGACGCTAAAATCACTAAACCGGTGCATAAAAAAGTGAGGAGTGAGCATGTTTTTTTTTTTACTAAATTTATCTTAATTATAATTGTAGGGCTGATTTTTTTTTTTCAATCAAATCAATCATCATATATTCGCTTAAAAAAAAAAAAAGGGGGAAAAAATCCATTGCATGACCCAGTAATAATGTCCGCTTGGTACAAACTTTAAAGTAGCCATTAAAGCCTTGGCACTGTATGAATTTAAAAGATGAGCATCTCAAAAATGGAGCTAAAATTAAACTAAAAACAGGTGCATTAAAAGAAGTGAGCTTTTGTTTTTGCTTTTTTATTTGTTTGTTTGTTTTTACTATATACTGTATATACAAATATATATTGTACTAAATATATACACATATGTTTACATACATTCACTCTTAAAAAAAGATTTTTAAAAATCCCATGCATAACCCAGAAGTAATGCAGGTTTGATACTAATTCACAGTATTTACACTAATTCAATTTTAAAAAAGTTCTGAATGCATGTGATAGCTGTGCGTCGTTCTCACCAGTCCCCACCAGAGGGCGTCTGCATAGGTATCAAAGTCCTGCGGGGCTGGTGTTGGGGAGGAACCCTCCATATCTGTTAGCTCCATGGTAACTTCATCCTTCTCAACCAGGTACACTAGGAAGGAAGCCAGGATCAATGACAGGAAGCCGATGTACCACGCTGTGATCAGCTCCTGACCGCACACACCAGCCGGGAAACACACACACAGCAGTACTGAGATCAAACTTCACCAGACACTGATATCTGATTGTTTGTGCTTGCGTATGTACTTTGCATGTCTGTGTATCGCAGACCATAGCATTTTTGAGGGATGAGTGTGTGTGTGTGTGTGTACATTGGATTGTGTGCATAGTGCCGACCCCATAGGTTTATTTGAGCATGCTTGACATGATTTAAACAAGCAAGATATGCTCTTAGATGTTGATCAAGAGGGAATGGCCTGTTGGCGTACATCACATCATGTGTGTGAATACCTTGCTGTGTGTGTATATTGCAGATCCCAGCAGTTTCCAGGTGCCTCCGCGGCGGTCCATTCGTAGCATTCGAAGGATCTGCAGGAAGCGCAGACTGCGCAGCGACGTGGCCAACACATTTCCCTGGTTTCGTACGGCAACCACCGGCACCGAAGCAATCAGTACAAAGATATCTGGCAACATAGAGAGTACCCGTAGTGCACAGGGGGGATATACAAGTCTCTTCTGCTCACCAAGTCTGCATTTATTTGATTAAAAATTGAGTAAAACAAAATTATTGTGATATTATTACAATTTAAAATAACTATTTTCTATTTGAATATATTTAAAAATGTAATTTATTCCTGTGATGACAAAGCTGAATTTTCAGCAGCCATTACTTCAGTCTTCGGTGTCACAAGATCCTTCAGAAATCATTCTAATATTCTTATTTGGTGCTCAGAAATTTTTTATTACTATCAGTGTTGAAAACAGTTGAGCTGTTTAATATTTTTGTGGAAGCCATAATACACTTTTTTCAGGATTCTTTGATGAATAGAAAGTTTAAAAGAACAGCTTATTTTTAAAATAGAAATCTTTTGTAACATTATAAATGTCTTTACTGTCATTTTTGATCAATTTAGTGTGTCCTTGCTGAATGAAATTATTTTCTTTCAAAAAACTCCCATGCAGTGTGTGCATACTGTATGTGCATGTTTCAATGTGACAGTGTGTTTGTTTGGGTCAGTGTGTTCAACTCACCCAGGACACACAGCGGTTTGCGGGCGAATTTGAGCCGTCCTCTCCAGCCCTTATATCGACAGCAGCAGCCGGCGGCCCATATCCTCAATGCAAACTCGCCTCCAAAAATAAAGATTGTAAATGTCTCCTACATGTGAGAGAAACATCCAGTCATTTTCCTCTCAACCATTCAATCTCACACACAAACATTGAATTGGCTATGAACAGAAGAAACAAACTCACCAGAATCACCAGCCAGTGAGCCGAATCTTCCTCGTGCTCTTTGAACGTTGTTAAAATTGACAGAATCAGACATCCCAAAACAATCAGAAACCTAGAGATTCAGAAACAGACAGTGAGCGGGACCTTTAACCGGGGTTACTGTTGTTAACTAAAATTAAAACCATTTAAAAAAATGTTTAAAATTAAAAAGAACTTAAAATATAAAAAGGTAAACGTATTTTATTTCAAATGTTTCCAAGGAAACATTTCTCATTTTTGTTTAGTTTAGGTTGAAGTACTAAAATAATTTAAACTAAATAAACTAAACCTAATAAATAAAAAATCAATAATACTATATAGACATATTAAAAATGAACACACAACAAATCAAAACTAAAACTTTAAATAAATTAAAGCGAAAACAGAAAATATGAAAATCTAATTCAAAATATTAACAAAAATATCAGTATATAATTGAAACTAAAATAACACTGCCTTTGACCAGACTGCAAATTTTCATTTTATATATAAACATATCAGTTGGAAAAAACTGGGATGAAGATCTTTTTTAGTTGCTATGGATACCTCAGATGAGTCATGATAAAAAAAAATATATATATATATATATATATATATATATATTAT